TTCTGCAGTAAGAACTGGTGGAGGAAGTCTTTTATGCTGCTGAGCCATATGGATATACCTGCTCCCATTTTGTTTTTGAAGTTCATTACGCGGATATATAGTGTTTATTGTACAGATCACTTGTTTTCCTATGCGATTGTTTCCCTTTGCTATTGAACTTGTAATGTCGTTTTCATAATGAATTCTCAGGTCGTTTTCTTGCAATAGTGTAGGCCTCAAACTCAATATCTTTCTTGTCATGCTCTACTGGGCAGCACTTAGATTTGAACCAGATTATCTAAATTCATAACCATGAAACTTTGCATAGAATAGATGAGTGAATATTTGTTGTTATTTTTTTTGAGAGGTTTTTGCTATAGGGCACGTGTCCTTGCCAGAAAGACAGAGACAGAGAGATAGAAAGTGAGAAATCACCCTCAGGGGGGATGGCCACGCCGCAATCCCTTCTCCTCCTTTCTCCTCTCGGGATCTTGGGCACACACGCACGTGTGCCCAGCGGGAGTTTAAGCCACCGGGTCTGGGACTCAAACCGCGGTCAGCTACATGGGAGTCCAGCAACATAGCCATTACGCTACCTGCTGGTCCCTGGATATTTATAATTTGACCTTACTTTTATATCGTTACCTTATACCATTGTTTCTGCAAGATTAGCATCAATCTCTCTAAAAGGTCTTGTGTGTGTGGGGGGAATCATTTTGACCTACCCTCTTTGATACGTCATATGAGAAGATTCTGTTTTTATATACATATTTTATTAGCTGTGCAAAAGGTTGGTAACAGAAGAATTAGAGGTTAGCATATCATGCCTAGCTAGTATTTCTATGGGAAAACAACTGAAAAAGATGTGTTTGCTTAAAAACAAGCTCGGTCCGTAAACGTTGCCTAGCCTTTAAAAAGTCTACGATTTTATAGGTTAGACATTTTAAATACATGGATTAAAAAGAATATTCTGATGTGTTACATTCTCTTTCTCTCTAGTTAATAAATTTGAATGCCAATTATGTTGAAAGTGATGGCAAAAGCAGTGCTGTAGTTACTAGCTCCTAAGTGTCTTTAACTAGTAGTTGATGGAAGCGCTTTCCAAACATTACAAATTGCTATAGATTAACCATCAAATGAGTGTGAAGATTAATGACTAGTCTTTTAGCCGGGTAATTTAGGACAATATCTGGTAATGAATTGAGGATTATCAGTTTTAAAGTCACAAATACCATGAAGAAAACAGCATCAAAAACAGCAGCGGTAATTGTTCAATTGCCGTTTAACTTCTAGACTCTTAGGGTAAATTAAAGAGAAATTTAAAGAAAAAACAGCCAACTTCAGAATGGTAAAGGCATTTGAAATCCTGAAGGTATGGGCTTGTCCGCAGAGTCGTGACACGGTTTTGCAGTCGTGACACGGTTTTGCATAGCAAAGCATAGAAAAAGGCCTCACGACTTTCCCGATGACCTAACGTAGTGTTTCCAGTGTATGATTTTATACTCAATCTGGTAATCCATCAAGTAAATATGTTTTCAGATATTCAAGGTCTGTAAAACTTCTACACAGCCTCTTTCTTTCCTTCCTTCCTTCCTTCCTTCCTTCCTTCCTTCCTTCCTTCCTTTCTTTCTTTCTTTTTTCTTATTTTTGCAATAGGGTGCGTGCACTTGCCAAAAAGACAGTGAGAGACAGAGAGACAGAAAGCGAGAAATCACCCCCCAGGGGGGATGGCCGCGTCACAATCCCTTCTCCTCCATTCTCCTCTCGGGATCTTGGGCACGTACACACACGTGCCTGGTGTGAGTTTAAGTCACCGGGTCTGCTACATGAACTGCAGTCGACTACATGGGAGTTCAGCAACATAGCCATTATGCTCACTGCTGGTCCCAATATCCACCTAGTTTTCTTTCTTTTCTTTTTTTGGAGAGGTTTTTGCTGTTGGGCACATGCGCTCACCAGAAAGACAGACAGAGAGACAGAAAGCGAGAAATCACCCCCCAGGGGGGATGGCCGCGTCACAATCCCTTCTCCTCCATTCTCCTCTCGGGATCTTGGGCACGCACGGACACACACCTGGTGTGAGTTTAAGCCACCGGGTCCAGGACTCAAACAGCAGTTGGCTACATGAGAGTTCAGCGACATAGCCATTACGCTAACTGCTGGTCCCTAAACATCCTTTTTAAAGAAGGCACTGAGGATATTCTCTCCTCCTCCCTGACAGAGGAGAGAATGAAAGAGGAATACCTGGCAAATAAGAAATAGGACGCAGATGCAGGGGAGAGATGGAGGGACTCCCCCACACTGGAGAAGGGGGATCCCAGGCTGGCAGCCGTGGGGCAGACGCAAGTCACAGCTCACCGAGGCTGGAGCAGCTGGTTGAGCACGTGTCCAGCACGTTGATCTCAGAATTGAAAAACACAGCCTCCTCTTCCAGACCTATTCCCGCAGCCGAGAGCTGCCGAAGTCCTCTCAGCCTCTGATTCTCAGCACGTCCCGATGGTCTTGCCTGCAGACTTCCCCGAGGTGACCGTATACAGCAGCGCCCCTCTTACCCACGACTTTGTCTTCTAAGGTTTCAGTTCCCTGTGGTCACCTGCCATCCAAAATATGAAAGTGGGCCATTCCAGAAGTAAAACTTGGAAGTTTTAAACCGCATGCTTTTCTGAGTAGCGTGATGTGATCTCGCACCGTCTTGTTCTGTCCCACCGTGGACATGGACTGTCCTTTTGTCCTCTCTGTAGGCACTGCCCACCCTTAGTGGCTTAGTCGCCGGCTCTGTCACAGAGCATCTCTCACGGTGGTTCGACAGTGCAGTCACCTGTGTTTGCTTAACGATGGCCTTAAAGCATGAGAGCGGTGATGCTGGCATATTGCTGTACTGTTCTATTTTACCGTTAGTTATTGTTGATAACTTAGCATACCTGATTTATAAATTTAACTTTACCCTAAGTGTGTATGTGTAGGAAAAACAAATGTAGTACAGTAGGGTTAAGCGCCATCTGTGGTTTAAGGCAGCAGTCCCCACCACCCCGGGCTGCAGACCTCTGCCCGTCTGTAGCCTGCTGGTGTCTGGGCCGTGCAGTGGGGGTGCACGGCAGGTGAGTGAGCAAGTCTTCATCTGTGTTGGCAGCCACTCCCCTCGCTGGCATCTCTGCCCAGCTCCGACCCTGCGCAGTCACTGGTGGTGCTGGGGTCTCATGGCAGCATGGATCGCTTCCCGTATGTGAAACGTGGCCATGACGGAAATGTGTGTGGTAGAGGCCGTGTGCTTGGGTCATCCCAGGGCACACTTCCCTTCCCCCAGTGTCTGGAGGGATGAGGCCGGTCCCTGGTGCTGGGAAGGTTGGGGATCACTGGTTAAAGGCGTCTACTGGAGCCTTGGAAAGTGTCGGAGATAAGGGAGGACTGCTGTAAATCCCGAGAAGCCGAAGCTGTGCTGCAGCCCACACCCTGTTTATCTTGTCTCTGTGTCCCAGCGACGTAGGTTATTGGAACTCCGTTACGGGAACGACTTTCGCAATAATAAACCATTGGGTCTTCAGGAAAGTCATGGCACATTTGCGCATAGAAAAACGCATCATGACTTCCCCAACAACCTAATAGAATCACGTTTATACTTTCTGCATGGGCCATGCTTTTCCTGCCATTTTTGGGGGAGGGTGTAGAAGGCAATATTCCACAGAAACGCCGCTGGAAATCACATAAAGGTGCTATACAGTAGCAATCCTTGAAGAGGTAAAAAAAAGGTGTCCACTGTTCAGCTTTTTCTGTTACGTAGGTAAAAGGCTAAGCACGAGAGTGGGAGAGTGACAGTGCTGAGTACTGAGAAGTCACTCACATGGCCGGGGGCTGAGGGGATCTGTCGATGGATTAGCTGGAAATTTCAGACCATTCGCACCGGCCCAAACTTGGAACATTATGGTTGACTTTTGGGGAAAGGTTTTTTGTACACACACACACACACACACACACACACACACATTTTTTCCCCCAATTGCTTAATATATTTTTTTCTTTAGCTTAGTAAGGAAAAGGTTTGTAACTTAACAGATACTGATCGAGCAGTGAATGTAACTAAATGATATTCTTTACCTCTCCTGAGCATAAGTCCCAGAGTAAATGGTTTCATTGCAGTTGAAACTGTATGTTTTCCAGTTTATAAAGCACTTCCCAGTGGTTCATACTTAGATTCTTTTTTTTTTTTTGGAGAGGTTTTTGCTATAGGGCGCTTGCGCTCGCCAGACAGACAGAGAGAGACAGAGAGACAGGAAGCGAGAAATCAACCCCCAGGGGGGATGGCCACGCCATAATCCCTTCTCCTCCATTCTCCTCTCGGGATCTTGGGCATGCACGCACACGTGCCTGGCGTGAGTTTTAAGCCACCGGGTCCGGGACGCGAACGGCAGTCGACTACATGGGAGTCCAGCGACATAGCCATTACGCTAACTGCTGGTCCCCATACTTAGATTCTGATACAGGAGACCAGTAGAAGAGCGTATTCCTTTCTTTTACAGCTTGGAAAATAGCCTAAATAGCTGTTTTCTTTTTGTGGTTCCATGCCATACTCTTTGTTAAAAATTTGCTATAGTTTTTCTCAGATGTTTAGAGTTCTGTGATTGGCTTTTTTCTTTTTCTTTTCTTATTTATTTATTTATTTATTTTTGAGAGATTTTGTTATAGGGTGCATGTGCTTACCTGAGACACAGAGGGAGACAGAGAGACAGAAAGTGAGAAATCACCCTCCAGAGGGAATGGCCACACCGCAATCCCGTCTTCTTCATTCTCCTCTCGGGATCTTGGGCACGCACACATACACAATCCAGTGCTATAACCGTTAACGCCATCTGCTGGTCTCATCTGTGATTGACTTTTATTTTACATATCATTTTACCAAAATAAGGGTATTACAGAAATACTGAGTTTTATTATATAAACTATGTTTTTGAAAAATTATTGCTTCATTTTGTAGTCTTTGTTCATTTTCTATGCACACTTTAACTGACGGTACATTTTTCCTCTAGGTCACTTTTGAAATACACAAAGCAAACCTTGCCAGCATATTTCGGGAACAGCAGGGAAAACTCGATGAAGACATAGGGCCGTGCTCTTCAAGTCCAGTTGGAGCAGTCTCCGGCATTAGCAGGGACGTTACCGTTTCAGAAGGGTCCCGGCCTTCAGATACGCAGGATTCTCCCGCCCACCCTCATTGCCCCGGACAGAAGGATGAAACCCCCGGCACGGAGGTAACGGGTTCAGTCGAATCTACATCTAACCCCGGACCGCAGACCCACGATACAGCTCACGGAGGGGAAACCGAGCCGGAGTGTCAGGCGGTACCCGATGAAGTCCCTTTAGAAGAGACACTGACAAACGCGGGCGACTCAGAAGTCACTTCTGACCCAATAGAAGCAGTGACCGTCTTGTCTAATTCTTTAAAAAAAGGCGAGAAGGACACAGCGACCATCAGTGAAGTGACTGCCACCCTCAGTTCTCCTTCCGAGGAGGATGCTTCCGAGATGCCGGAATTCCTGGACAGGTCTCTAGCGGAAGACGAGGACGAGGATGACTATGTGGAAGTGAAGGTAGGAGGTAGCCCTCCGGAGGAGGCCAGTCCACCCGCAGAGCTCCGAGATAATGGCTTGTCTCCAGCCGTCTCCGAAGCCAGCGAAAGACTGGACATCGTCAGTGCTGACCACAGAGCGGTATGTCACGAGGAACACGCTCAGACAGGACAGCAAGCTGGCCCTGACGCACAAGCTTCTAAAGACTCTGGCACCCTGGCTGCCACCGCATCCGGGTCCTCAGCTACCTCACCAGAAACTGCTGTCTCCCCAACTGTGCAGTCAGACATCGGTCAGATGCCGGAGGGAGGGAAGAAAGGCACCAGAGAAAGCAGGTTACCCAGCAATGGTCATGGACACGTCGGGGAGGCGGCTGCTCTTTCTGAGCCCAGAATTGCCAAGTTGGATGTTTCCAGTGTTGCTACAGATACCGAGAGGCTAGAGCTGAAGGCCAGCACGAGTGTGGAAGCGCCTCAGCCTCCCCGACAAGGGCCCGAGGTGATTGTGTGTGTCATCTGCCTGAAGCGTGTTTGTGCAGAGTTACAGAGAGCAGCTGTATAGACTGACGCTTTAATTATTTTGGATTTAGCGCCTATCCCATTTGCAATGACTTAAATGCAATGGGTAGAAAGATTGTATTTCACATTCTTAGCCCAGCCTCTAGCAGTTAGTATCAATTTATTAAAGGGCAGTTATTATTACTGTTTTCTATCCCAGCGTCATCAAAAGTTAACCACTTTCAAGTTCTAGGGTTGGCCTCATTTTAGTTTAAAAAGAAAATACTGGACATACTTACATTTTTTTTCCCTTTGTTTGCCTAACCCCATCTTAGCACATTAATTTTCCCATAAAATCTAAGACCACCTACCTGCCAGCGTCTAATTTTAATCAGAAAGTTTGTGGTTTAAAATTGAACCGTGAGGTCTGTAAAAGAGAGGGGCCTTTGTGAGCCCTGGAAGGCACAGCTTTCTCCTCTACCAGCAGCTCAGAGTGACTCATCCGACGAGGGGTAATTGCAGGTTGTGCTTTTTCACGTCAGTCAGTTCTAGCCTTTCTCCTCCCTTCCTTTTTTATTTATTTTTAAAAATTGGTTTGTTTGTTCTTCATGATTTCTTTTGTTTGTTTGTTTTGTTCTTCATTCTAGCCAGTTTATAATCCAGATGCTGCTTGGGTTATAAATACTACCTTTCTTTTATGCTAAGATTCAAAACTAAGAGCAGCTTGATTCCTCTGATTCTTTTATAACATGTTACAGAGCGACAACACATGGCTCCTTACTGTTAAATTGCAGTAGCTTTTTTTTTTTTTTTTTTCTTTTTTTTTATAAGAGAGGTTTTTGCTATAGGGTGCATACGCTTGCCAGAGAGAGACGGAGAAACAGAAAGCGAGTCATCACCCCCCCTGGGCGATGGCCACCGTGGAATCCCTTTTTGTTCATTCTCTCCTCTTGGGATTTTGGGCATGCACGAACATGTGCCCGGCATGAGTTTTAACCTGCTGGGTTTGGGACTCGAAACATGGTCTACTCTGTGGGTGTCCAGTGATGTAACCATTATGCCATCTGCTGGTCCCATTACATGTACTAAAATATTGATGTTATTGCTTGGATAGTTTCTCTAATTTTATTTTATTTTTAAAGTTTTTTTCTATAATGCACTTGTCTTGCTGGACAGTGACAGAGAGAGATGGTGATAAGGAAAGTGAGAAATCACCCCTTGCGGGGATGGCCGTGTCACCATCCCCTCTCCTCGTGGAATTTTGGGCATGCACACACATGCACCTGGTGTGATTTTCAAGGCACCAGGTCTGGGATTTGAACTGTGGTTGGCCATGTGAGAGTTCAGCGCGTTAACCACCACACCACCTGCTGGCCCCGGGTTTTTAGTGTCTTAAAATGAGAGTATTTGTTAGGCGAATAGCTTAAGAACTACTGAATTATGTACTTTACTAATGCCCGTGTTTTGAAGTTGATCTGATCGTACTCCTTTTAAAATGTTCTGTATTAGATGCCAAGGCAACAGGAGCAGCCGGGGCAAGGAACAGCACCAGACTCAGCTGGTGGACAAAGGAGAGATTCCAGACCCGCCATGTTTCGTATTCCCGAGTTCAAGTGGTCTCCCATGCACCAGCGTCTGCTCACGGACCTCTTGTTTTCAATAGAAACAGATATACAGATGTGGAGAAGGTTTGTCCCTAGTGTATTACAGAAGATCTATACGACCTGAGATTTTGTTTTCAAAGAAATGTATGTAAACACTTTGCAATTAAATTCAGATGCTTGGTTTAAAAGCAGCATAAAAGTTCTGTGGTAGGGTTTTATTGACTTTTTAATCCCCCATTGTAAGAATGAAATTCTTGTCTGGATTACAAAAGCCCCAGAATCAAAGGTTTCTCTTTTTACTCACTCTCTGAAGATCTCCTGTAGCATATTTTCATAGCATGGAATTCACCAGAAGGCAGGTCTACCAAGTGGGTTTATCATGACTAGAAATACTAAAAATTAATTGAGGTTTAAGCATAACATTATCCATGTCCCTGATATATTTTTTAACACTTAGATTATCCTTTACCGTGCGATTTATGATTTTAAAAGCACGTGATTTCTATTTGTATATGACTTGGTTTAAAATGATTTCATGGCATGGCTAAGAAAACGTTAGTAGAGGATTCATTTTTAGTAGCACAGTCTACACCGTTTACCTCCTGTTTTTTTTGCTATATGACTTGTCGATTTCGTTCCCAACTAAGCATTGTTTGGTTCAACTGTCTGTATCAGGTGTAAGCTAAACAGTGTTTTATGTGTCCACACAGAGAGGGCGTGGCTAGTCACTGCCGTTACGGAATGGTCTGCTTCTGAGGAAGTTTGCACCCCCCCCCAAATGCCTCCTGCATCATTACCTTCATTCCGTCTCCAAGACGAAGCCAAAGCACCTTCTTATCCTCCCTCCCCTCAAGTAGGCACATTGTGATTCCCTTTCTTTAGCGTTATCAGTAAACATCATTTATCTTTGGACAGCCATTCAACAAAGACAGTTATGGACTTCGTGAATAGCAGTGATAATGTCATCTTTGTACACAACACAATTCATCTCATCTCTCAAGTGACGGACAATATGGTCATGGCTTGTGGGGGGATACTGCCATTGCTTTCCGCTGCTACGTCGGCTACAGTAAGGACCTCGCTACTCTCTACCTTGGTGTGAAAGCATAAGTGTTCTGCCTTCTTGTTGACTAAGACGCGAATGTGGTGGCTACTGTGCATCTTAGGGACCCTACGTCAAAAGCGACAGGATCTTTTACAGTAACCCAAATGTTCCTTAGACGCTATGCTAGGCAAGAAGGCTTAAAGAAATCATTTCCTAGGGATAAGTCAGTGAAGAATCGCGGTGGATGAAATGTTAAGTAAATCACTCCGTTCGAATAGATTTCCGAAAGCTCGACTTTTTATAGAGAATTTAGAAATTTGGGAAATATATCTTATAACTATTAGATTTCTTTTTTACCCAGCTGTAGGTATTAATGTCAAACTCCATTTCTTGCAGCATGAACTGGAGAATATCGAACCTACACAAGGCCTTTCCATAGAAGCCTCTGTGACGTTCTTGCAGAGGCTGATTAGCCTCGTGGATGTGCTCATATTCGCAAGTTCTCTCGGCTTTACCGAAATCGAAGCTGAAAAGAACATGTCATCTGGAGGAATTTTGCGCCAGTGCCTGCGACTGGGTGAGCTGTTAAAACCTGTTAGTTAGCAACTTACCTTAAAAATGGGCGATAATTCAGACATTCGATTGAAAATGACCTCCCTTCTGTTAGTGAGAACATTTGTCTTTTAGCTACTTTTTAATGTGTTGTGTGCACACAGTCGTAGCTGCTTCGTTGGAAGGAGGAGGACTTACAGTATACGGTAGTTTATGTGACAGGGTTCTTGCTAGGTATGGGGAAATAGTTTATCGATTGGTTAGATTTTCTACATCCGATGCTGTATTTCCATCCGTCCCAGATGGCCATGGGTACCCATAATGCCGTGTTGAGGGGGCTCTCATTCTTAGACCCCCCCCTCTCTCTACTCTCTTCTCTCTACTTAGTAAGCAAATCATTTACAAAACTCTCAGCACGTACAGTTAGATAGGAAACCTTGTACAAAGAAAAAAAATTTTTGCTTCACTTTAGGAAGTCCAGTTAACACTAAAAAGTCATTTTGTGTGTTTTTGCATTTATATGATGAAGAATTGCTTCCAGTGGAAAACAAAGATGTAATGATTTTAAACACTAATGTTAATAAATTCTTACAGCTCATTTGCATAATGGCTACCTGCTCGTTGCTAACTTAACCTTGTTAATCAAGGTGTTTGTATGAGGAGCAGCAGCCATGTAACTGGGGATATCAAATGAAAGACAGTTTTAGGCTTCACCCATGACCTGTACAAGTTAATCTGCATAAAATGTAAGAAGTATTACTTTAGAGCAAAAAGAGGTAAAGAGAGAAGAATAGGGCAAATGCTGAACAGATTCACCTTAGCAGGTTGTTAAAATGCAGGTTGAATATCTCAAATTCAAAAGGTCTGGAATCTGGGACCAGCAGTTAGTGTAATGGCTATGTCGCTGGACTTCCATGTAGTCGACTGCGGTTTGCATCCCGGACCCGGTGGCTTAAACTCACGCTGGGCGCATGTACGTGCGTGCCCAAGATCCCAAGAGTAGAATGGAGGAGAAGGGATTGCGGCGTGGTCATCCCCCCTGGGGGGGGTGATTTCTCACTTTCTGTCTGTCTCTCTCTGTCTGGTGAGTGCACGCGCCCTATAGCAAAAACCTCTTAAAAAAGAAAAAGTGCTCCAAAATCCAAGTCTCTTTGAGCACCAATACGGCACCACAAGTGGAAAATTTCATACCTGACCTCAAGTGATGGGGTCACAATCAAAATGCTGTGGTACAAAAATACTGTACTGAGACAGTAGATGGCATAATGATTACATCGCTGGACTCCCATATAGTCGACTGTGGTTCGAGTCCCGGACCTGGTGGCTAAAATTCATTCTGGGCATGTGTGCCCAAGATCCTGAGAGGAGAACAGAGAAGAAGGGGTTGCGGCATGGCCATCCCCCACCCCTGGGGGTGGGTGATTTCTTGCTTTCTGTCCCTCTGTCTCTCTCTGTCTTTCCAGTCCTAGACCTGGCAACTTGCTGTCTCACTTTCCTTTGCTTTCTCTGTTTTTCTCTGGTCAACTTCAAAAAACCCGTCAGCCATGTGGGAGTCCAACCGCCCTAACCACCACAGTACCTGCCTGCCTTTGGGGGAAATATTTTTAGTTAAACTATTGTCTAAATAGTATTGTGTACATGATTTTTTCATCAGTTCCATAATCTTAAATGTAATTTGATTTTCTTTTCCAATCTTTTCCTTACAATGCGAGACAGTGTGTGCAGTGGCAGTAAGGAATTGCTTAGAGTGTCAGCAACATTCCCGACTGAGAACCAGGGGCGATTCCACCAACAGCTTAAAAACAATACACAGCCTGATTCCCATGGCAAAATCTGCAGCCAAGGTAAGCACACTAAATAATTAATTTTTAAAAAGCAGACTTGGGACCAGCAGTTGGCACAGTGGCTATGTTACTGGACTCCCACGTAGTCGACCATGGTTCGAGTTCCAGACCTGGTGGCTTAAACTCATGCTAGGCGCATGTACATGCGTGCCCAAGATCCCGAGAGGAGAATGGAGGAGAGGGGATTGTAGAGTGGCCATCCTCCCTGGGGGGGTGATTTCTTGCTTTCTGTCTCTCTCTGTCTCTCTCTCTCTCTCTGTCTTTCTGATGAGAACATGCACCCTATAGAAAAAGCCTCTCAAAACAAAAACAAAACCCAAAAAAAACCAGATTCTTCACGGTTAAGATTTTACATTTATTTCCTCATTTCAACATAAAATTAAATCTGAGCGATCCTAAGATGGTTACTTTAGGCTGTGGCAATACCATTCAAATATTCGTGTTTACATATACAGTAAAGATTTGTTTTTAGTTAGTCTTCTCTGCTTTCTTAGGTGTTTATTTTCTTGTTGAGGTGATAGCTTCTCCTTCAAGTACGTCAATTTTTCCTACGTAACATCCTTCGGTCACCCCCTCCTCAAAAGCAGTGTGGAAAAAACTGGGGAAAGGAATGTGATGGTCTTGCTTTTCTGGTTGTTGGAATACTAGGTTTGTTTGTTTGTTTGTTTGTTTGTTTATTTATTTATTTATTTATGTTGGAGAGGTTTTTGCTATAGGGCGCGTGTGCTTGCCAGAAAGACAGAGAGAGACAGAGAGACAGAAAGTGAGAAATCACCCCCCAGGGAGGATGGCCACGCCACAATCCTTTCTCCTCCATTCTCCTCTCGGGATCTTGGACATGCACGCACACGCGCCCGGTATGAGTTTTTAAGCCACCAGGTCTAGGATGCAAACTGCGGTTGACTACATGGGAGTCCAGTGACATAGCCATTACACTAACTGCTGGTCCCTACAATACTAGGTTTATTTTTAAAGACACCTGCGTGTTGTGTGTGTTTGTTTTTCAGAGTCCGGTGGACCTTGTGACTGGCGGAATATCTCCAGTAAGAGATCTCGACAGGCTCCTACAAGACATGGATATTAATCGGCTGAGGGCAGTTGTTTTCAGAGACATAGTAAGTGGCAATATTTTTAAAAATGAATGACTGAATTGATTGTTACTTGTTAGTTCGACCACATAGAGAGCAAAAAAGTGAGAGAGCAAGCTGCTAGGTCCAGGACACGAACCATAGTCGACCATGTGGGAATCCAGCACACCACCACCACCACACCACCTGCTGGCCCCCGTAATACTTCTTCACTGTTTCTTACCTATTCCTATTTCCTGTTTCCTCTTTGACCCAGAGTGTTGAGGGTGAAAACTCTTTGTGATATAAAATAGCCCACCAGAGATAAGAAGGCCTAGAAACTAGTTCTCTTGACAGTGATTTTAGATCTTAGGATCCTCTGTAAATGCAGCTAGTGCTTCAGAGTCATGATTCCTTTTTTTTTTTTGGAGAGGTTTTCGCTATAGGGAGTGTGTGCTTGCCAGAAAGACAGAGAGAGACAGAGAGACAAGTGAGAAATCACCCCCCAGGGAGGATGGCCACGCCTCAGTCACTTCTCTTCCACTCTCCTCTTGGGATCACTACAATGTATGCACGCGCCTGGAGTGAGTTTAGGCCACCGGGTCCCGGACTCGAACCGCAGTCAACTACATGGGAGTCCAGCGATGTAGCCATTACGCCATCTGCTGGTCCCCAGAGTAATGATGCTAAAAAGAATAATATGCTATTACATAGTGAGCAGTATGAGTGTTTTAACTATGCAATTGAACCTTGAACCATGAACCATGTGGGGGTAATGGTTCCTGACTCCTTTGCAATCAAATATGTACTTGGAACTTTAGACTTCCCCAAAACTTAGCTACTGATAGCCTGCGGTTGACCAGAAGCCTTAGCCGTGATGTAAACAGTTTATTAACACATTTTCTTATGTTACACTATTATATACTGTAGTCTTATAATAAAGATAATGTTAAAAAAATCATAAGGAAAAAAATACCAATATTTATAGGATTATTATTATTGGAAAAAATTCCTGTATAAGTAGGCCTGCAGGGTTCAAATGTACCAGAGGTCAACTGAACTCATTAAATCAGCAACTTTTTGAGATCTCTACTTTTGTCATTTCCATTTTATAGGTCAGGATGCAGGCACAGCGAGCTTGGGTAACTTCTCCAAGCTAATGTTAGTAAGCCGTAGACTTAGGATTCAAACCCAGCGTGTAACTGCAGGATCCGTGCTCTGGGTGTAGGGAGATGTTCGGCTTCTGAATGGCATAATGTTTTACTATTAGATAGTTTTCCTTCCAAGATGTACTCATGTGAGAAAAAGGTGTAGGGTGAAACGTCGCTTTGGCTCCGGTGCTTGGCGCTTGTAGTTTTTTAAAGTTGAGAACCAGTTTTGTGTTAGCTGATTCTCATGAAGAGTAGAGCCGATTTTCATGTGCGTATGTCAAAGTCATACAGAAAGTACAAGGATGAAGATAAACATTATTTGTAATTCCATTCTAGAGCGTTTGCAGTATTGTCATTAGTATTTGGACACTCACTGTGTATTTAGTACAGGATGCTGTAAGTATCTATTACATACTGTTTCTTCTAAACATTATAACTTATTTCTCCATTCCCTCCTCCTCCAGTAGTTAGACCTTTCTGGAGTTCTTGACTAGGTATTTATACACACGTAGAAGTGGAGGGTAGTTACAACCCAGTGGTTTTGGAGCACTTGCTGTTAAACAGCGCTGCCTGCTCTGTCTGTGTGGCCTCTCATTCTCACACTTGCCATGGGAGGAACCTAGCTGTGCTAGACCCAGTGCTGGCCGCCCGAGTATGCGGTAGACCTGCCCTGCCGGTGTCCCTGGGAGCAAACTGAATTGCATTACTGCAGGCCACGTGGCTGGCCGTGGGTTTGGATCCCTGGGTGGGCTTGAACACACTCCAGGTACGCGTCCGCATGCCCAGGGACCGAAGAGCCGGAGGGTCAGGGAAAGGGGAGCATGGCGTGAGACGTCCCAGTTAAGGATATGCACGCCATTTTCCCTGGCTCACACGCACATGCGCATAATGAGTAAAACCATAGCGAGAAGAGATCACACGGTACGAGGTAAAACTGAGTCAAGGGCCTCGGGAATTTGATTTTTGAAATTTTGATTTTAACGACTATGTTGTACTGCCTTTCCTTCTGAACTACCAGAGGGTGTGGTGTGTGTGCTTGGCAGAGAGAGAAAGAGAAAGAGAGAGAGAAGAGGAGAGGAGAGAGACCCCCCTAGTGCGCTGTGGTCACAATGCAGTTCCTTCTCCAGTTCTCATCCTGTTGAGACTTGGGGCACACACACACACACACGCACGTGTGCTCAGTATGTTCTTCAGAGTGCTGGCCTTGGGATTTGAACCAGATGGGCATGTGGAATTTGGCTTCCTTAGCCAGTAAACAACAGGCCAGCCCATAAAATCACTTATCTTTGTTTTTTGTTTGTTTGTTTGTTTTTGTATTTTTTTTCTTTCAAAATTCTCTTTTAGCTTCCTATAGCATTTCAAACGGAATCTTGACCCACGGACGCTCTGCACGCTTTGCTTTTGCACACGTTCTTAGCAGTTACTATCTCACAGTATCGGAAACAGGGTCAGAGTTTTTCCTTTGTCTCCCCTGTGATTTCTTTTTTTTTTTTTCCGAGAGGTTTTTGTTGCTATACGGCGCGTGCGCTCGCCAGACAGACAGAGAGAGATATAGAGACAGAAAGGGAGAAATCATCCCCCAGGGGGGATGGTCATGCCGCAATCCCTTCTCCTCCATTCTCCTCTCAGGATCTTGGGCACGCACACACACGTGCCCGGCGTGAGTTCTAAGCCACCGGGTCTGGGACGCGAACCGAGGTCGACTATGAGGAAGTCCTGCAACATAGCCATTATGCTAACTGCTGGTTCCCTCCCCTGTGATTTCTGAAAGCAATAAATGATCTTAAATATAAACTCTGATTTCTATTTATGATATTAACTATAAAATTTATGATATTACATGTAAAGTAAATGTTATATAAATATAAAACTATTTTATAATTACGTTACATAATCACCTTATAGGAATTTCGGAAAAGAGAAAAGACTATTCTCCTAATCACATCCCAGAGTTTAACTTGCTCTAACATATAAAACCTTTCATGGGAAAGTAAGTGACCTCAGATGAAGTTGGTAAAGAAAGTATTACCCTGAGATTAAGAGCTGAGGTTTTTAACCACTGTAATCTGATTTCAGATTGCTGAGGTTTTTGTTTTAGAGAGATTTTTTTGCTACAGGGCATGTACACTTTTCAGAGAGACAGAAAATGAGAAATCACCCCCCTAGGGAGGATGGCCGTGCAACAACCCCTTCTCCTCACTTTTCCTCTCAGCATTTTGGGCATACATGCACACGTGCCCAGCGTGAGTTTCAAGCTGCCTAGTCCGAGACCTGAACTGTGGTCAGCCATGTGGGAGTCCAGCAACATAACCATCACACCATCTGCTGGTCCCTAGATTGCTAAGGCTTTTAGTCATGTAATCTGATTTCAGATTTGCTTTTTCACACAGTGTGGTAGTTCCTGAGGTAAGTCGCTTCACTTTTCCAAGGCTCATCTTGGGAAATTCGTGAATGAATGTGTATGATGTACATAGCACAGTGTCTGAGTGTCAGTCCGTTTTCAGTAAGTGATGGCTACAGTTGGAAACAGATCTATTACAGCAGTTAGGATTTAAATATTGGATCATCTGGGAAGTCACGATACATTTTTGCAAAAAACAAAAAACAAAAACAAAAACAAACCAAAAAGATAAACCAAACATAGGAAAATGCACCATGACTTTTCCAACCACCCAATGTAAGGATCTGTGGATATTATTTATTTGGGTCTAGAAATCAAACATATGCTATAAACTAAGTACAGTAGTTAATATGGATTTCTACACATCTAAGCAATTCATTTAATAGATGGCAGAATGTTGTGGCAGAAGAACTCAAGCATGTCTAGAGAAAGGAGATAGTTAATTAAAAAAAAGGAAAATGGGACCAGCAGATGGTATAATGGTTACGTCACTGGACTCCCATGTAGTCAACCACAGTTCGAGTCCTGGATCCGGTGGCTTGAAACTCATGCTAGGTGCATGTGCGTGCGTGCCCAAGATCCCGAGAGGAGAATGGACAAAAAGGGATTGCTGAGTGGCCATTCCCCTGGGGTTCGGAGTGGTGGTAGTGGTGGTGGCAATTTCTTGCTGTCTGTCTCTCTGCCTCTCTGGTGAGCACACTCATCCTATAGCAAAAATTCTCTCTCTCTTTTATTTATTTACTTATTTTTTAAAAAAAGGAAAAATGTACATTTGTCTCTTTGACCAAGACCTAGAAGTTGTTTCACAAGAACCTACAAAATACTATAGATTTTGTCAGATGACAGATATGTCCAGGACTTGGCATCAAGAGGATATATTCAGAGAGAATGTGATGGCCCACTGTTTTCTGAAATTGAGTATGTCCAGAATTTTTTCATTTTATTTTTCATAGGGCCCACGTGCTTGTCATAGAGTGACAGAGAGAGGGAAAGTGAGAAATTGCTCCCCGGCGGGGTGTCCATGCCACAGATGCTTCTCCCCCATCCTCCTCTTGGGATTTTGGGCACACAGGCACACACACCCGCCTGGTGTCATTTTCAGGCCACTGGGTCCAGGACTCGAACTGCATTTGGCCATGTGGGAGTCCAGCGCCTTAACTACCACACCACCGGCTGGCCCCTCTTGTGCCCTGTTAGTGTCATCGGCACCATTAGTTTCCATCTGTCTATCTTGTAGGCAACAGCATTCTTTGTTGTTTATTCTGAACTTACCTGCTCCTTGAGGTGTCACGAGGTGTCAGGATTTGGGGGGCATATTTGAGGTTTTCTTTTCATTGAGTTCCTATCTGAAAGTTATTAGCATAGTGGCGTGTGTATAGTCCTCTCCTAGACAGGGGATCTGGCAGGATGGAGAGGCCATTCATCAGCCGTGATGCAGGTGGTGCGGAGTTCGAGAGGAGCCTGGGCCAGTCCTCGACTTGGTCTGCTTCTGTCCCTTCTGCCCTGGGAGACACATCTTTTCAATCCTGGGCCTGCGAGTGCAGTTTCAATTACTTGCAGACATTCCTCCAGCATCCTGCTCTGTGTCTGCTAGCCTATCTTTTTTCTCCTAGATGTTTGTCTTTTAGCCGGACTTGTTAGTTTGATATTTTTGTATATTTTCATGTTTTATTATTAGAAGTAAAAATAATTAGTCCTCCTCGTATCGTTATAATTACTACTTGATTAATCTTATGAAATATATTGAGCTGCATCTCTTCAGGCCCAGCTACTTAAATTTTAAAAAATGATCCCCGGTTCTCTTTCCATGTTTCACGAGTATAAGACCTCTCATTTATGCATTTGGCCATGTGGGAGTCCAGCGCCTTAACTACCACACCACCGGCTGGCCCCTCTTGTGCCCTGTTAGTGTCATCGGCACCATTAGTTTCCATCTGTCTATCTTGTAGGCAACAGCATTCTTTGTTGTTTATTCTGAACTTACCTGCTCCTTGAGGTGTCACGAGGTGTCAGGATTTGGGGGGCATATTTGAGGTTTTCTTTTCATTGAGTTCCTATCTGAAAGTTATTAGCATAGTGGCGTGTGTATAGTCCTCTCCTAGACAGGGGATCTGGCAGGATGGAGAGGCCATTCATCAGCCGTGATGCAGGTGGTGCGGAGTTCGAGAGGAGCCTGGGCCAGTCCTCGACTTGGTCTGCTTCTGTCCCTTCTGCCCTGGGAGACACATCTTTTCAATCCTGGGCCTGCGAGTGCAGTTTCAATTACTTGCAGACATTCCTCCAGCATCCTGCTCTGTGTCTGCTAGCCTATCTTTTTTCTCCTAGATGTTTGTCTTTTAGCCGGACTTGTTAGTTTGATATTTTTGTATATTTTCATGTTTTATTATTAGAAGTAAAAATAATTAGTCCTCCTCGTATCGTTATAATTACTACTTGATTAATCTTATGAAATATATTGAGCTGCATCTCTTCAGGCCCAGCTACTTAAATTTTAAAAAATGATCCCCGGTTCTCTTTCCATGTTTCACGAGTATAAGACCTCTCATTTAAAGGCATTTTTTCCGGGGACCAGTGGTTAGGGTAATGGCTATGTCGCTGGACTCCCACGTAGTCGACCGCGGTTCGTGTCCCGGACCTGGTGGCTTAAACTCACACTGGGCGCATGTGCGTGCGTGCCCAAGATCCCAAGAGGAGAATCGAGGAGAAGGGATTGTGGCGTGACCATCCCCCCTGGGGGGTGATTTCTTGCTTTCTGTCTCTCTGTCTCTCTCTCTCTCTGTCTGGCGAGTGCACGTGCCCTATAGCAAAAACTTCTCCAAAAAAAAAAGAAAAACAGGTAAAGGCATTTTTTCCGAGAATCTTTGCCCGATCTTTTTCAAATGAATTTAAGTATTATTTTCTATGGGTATTGAAAGATTTTTGAATATCTCATACTGAAATGTTGGGATGTAAAATACAATTAAAACATGTAATTTACCATGGCCGTGATCAACTTCTTTCACGTTCCCCAGGAGGACAGCAAGCAAGCTCAGTTCTTGGCCCTGGCTGTGGTGTACTTCATCTCTGTCCTCATGGTCTCCAAGTACAGAGACATCCTGGAGCCCCAGAACGAAAGGCACGGCCCGACATGTAAGGAAACCGCCAGTGAAAACGGGAGCGCGTCGCTCTCTGGTAAGCGTCCGCTGTTTATTCTCAGGCACCCGAATTTCCACCAAAACGTTTGTTTCTTTCCATCTTACCTGCCTTCTTTTTTTCCCAAGGGCATGTGTGTTCCCTAGAAAGAGAGTTTGTGAGACAGAAAGAAAGCAAGCATCCCAGTGGGGTGTGATCGTTCCGCGGTCCCTTTCCTTCCATTTCTCCTTCCTGTCAGGATTGGGGCGTACACGCACACATGCCTGGTGTGTTTTGCAGGCTGCTGGGGCTGGGATTCGAACTGCATTCCATCATGTGGGATCCAGCGTTCTGTCCACAGCATTTACCCCTGCTCCCCAGGCCAGCCTGGGATTTTAACATTAGATGTAGGATTTGCGAAAGAGAAGGGAGTCGAGAATGGTTTAGTCTGTGGTGGGCTAGACTAAAGCTGAAACAGACTTTCAGGGAAAGATAAAAAGAAAAGAAACTCAATTTTCAACGTGTTGCGTTTGAGACTTCTTTTAAACATTTACGAGATGACGCAGTGATATTTAAAACTTTGAGAGCGAATGGGACCCCTCTGTGGGTAAATGAAGACAGAGAAGGCATGAGGACCGAGGACTAAGCCCTAATTCCCTCCTACCCAAGTAATCAGGGGTGAGAAACAGCAAGGGACGTAGGGAAGAAGCAGCCATTGAGGCAGTAGAAAGACCAGAAGAGTGTGGCTTCAGGGCAGGCGAGGAGAGCTCTGTCAAGGTGGAGGGAACACCAGCTGCCGGCTCTTACCTTGTGTACTGTTAGCCCTGAGAAGTGACCACTGGATTTAGCAAGATGGGTTTTTGGTGACCTCGGTCTTTGTTGGAATGGACTGAAAGTCTGATGGGAAGGATTGAAAGTCCAAGAGAGAGAAAAAAGGATAAACATTTTTGAACCACATTTTAAGGAACATTGAACTATTTATGCATAAGGGAGAGGTAACAAGTTTTCTAGCAGGAAAATCGATTTGAGTCGGAAAAAAAAATGATCATATATTTTTCTATACAAAACTGTGTCATGACTTCCCAGACAACCCAATATATCTGAGGTAGAAGTTTTTACTTATCAAAAGGGTTTGGAGCTTTTTCTTAAAATGAAGAGTTATTTATTTAACTTTTTATTTATTATTATTTTTTAAAAAGTGCTATAGGGCACACACAGGAGTTGGGGGTGGGGAAGCCACCAGGTCTGGGATTTGAACCGTGGTCAGCCATGTGGGAGTCTAGCACTTTTAATCACCACGCCACCTGCTGGCCTCTTGGATCTTCTTTTTTTTTTTTTTTTAATTTCCTAGAGGGTGGTGTGTGTTTGCCATAGAGAGAGAGATGGAGAGAGAGAGAGAGAGAGAGAAGGAAAGTGAGAAATCACTTCTCCATGGGGGCACAGTCATGCTGCAAGCAGTTCTCCATTCTCCTTCCTTTTCAGTGTGTTCGGCACACACAGGCCCAGCATGTTCCCAAGCCTCCAGGTCCAGGACTCAAACAGTGCGGTGGGCCGTGTGGGGTCCAGCCACCTTAACCATCAGGCCATGGGCTGGCCCCTGGACTTTGCCTTCCAGGCCAATGGCTGTCAGCCGGTTGCTATACTCATGGCTGTCCTGATCGGGTTGGACGGTTTTCACAGGCGTTTCTTTGTTATTTGATTGTACTATATATTTACTTTTGAGTATAGGAACATTCACCACGCACATTTTTATAGGTTCTGTAGTTGGCTTTCGCCTTTTAGAGCAGTAGCTAGCTATTGGAACTGCTGTGAGCTCTACATTTTGCATTCTCTTCTGTTCTCCCGTGTCCGGGTAAGATGTAGACAACACGGCGGCCGCGCTCAGCCCCGCCACGCCTGCGTCAGTGGCCCGAGGGCGCGTCCGGAGGAGAGACGCGGAGGAGAGACTCGGGCATTGGGGACGAGCCCGCGTGCAGCCCGGCCGGCGGGGTGGATGTGACTTCGCAGACGGCGCCCCCGCGGGTCAGCGCAGGCCCGGATGCCATCAGCGAGGTGCTGTGTACTCTTTCCTTAGAAGTCAATAAATCTCAGGAATCCAAGAACGACGGAGGCGATGAGTCGGATAAAAAGGCTACCCCAGCAGTTCCAGTTTCAAAAAACGTCAACGTGAAGGATATTCTCCGCAGCTTGGTGAATATACCGGCTGACGGCGTCACCGTGGACCCTGCCCTGCTGCCACCAGCCTGCCTCGGCGCCCTGGGCGATCTGTCTGCGGAGCAGCCCGTGCAGTTCCGGTCGTTCGACAGGTACCGTCCACGGGCTGAGTCCAGTCTGCTTGCTCCGGCGGGTTCTAAGATAAAGGGGAATCGGGTTCAGCCCAGTTGTGCGAAAAGTGGTGACTTTCACATTAGAAAGCCGTGTTTTGATCTAGTTTATAACAGTTGCAAAAGGATATTTTTGTTGTATGGTTTATACATTATTTTACATTTCATTTATTTTTCAGAGAGTCTTTTTGCTATAGGGCACATGCTCTCATCAGAGAGACAGAAAAAGAGAAATAGAAAGAGACCGAAAGCGAGAATTTAACCCGTGCCCTAGAGAGGATGGCCAAATCGCAGTCTTTTGTCCCCTAGTCTCCTCTTGGGATTTTGGGCACGAATGCCACATACCTGGCCTGAGTTTTAAGCCATCTGTCCGGGACTTGAATCGTAATTGACTATGTAGGAGTCCAGCGATGTAACCATTATGCCATCTGCTGGCCCTATCAGATTTTGTTTATCAACACCAATAAGATGATTTTTTTTTTTTTTGGAGAGGTTTTTTCGCTATAGGGTGCGTGCACTCACCAGACAGAGAGACAGAGAGACAGAAAGCGAGAAATCACCCCCCAGGGGGGATGGCCACGCCGCAATCCCTTCTCCTCCATTCTCCTCTTGGGATCTTGGGCACGCACGCACACACGCCCAGCGTGAGTTTTAAGCCACCGGGTCCAGGATGTGAACGGCAGGCGACTATGTGGGAGTCCAGTGACCTAGCCATTACGCTAACTGCTGGTTCCCAAGATGATTTTTAAAATCGTATATATGTATGGAGCCTGCAGGTCATGTTAAGGTGCTGGACTCCCACATGGCTGACCATGGTTCAAGTCCTGGACCTGGCAACATGAAAGTTGTGTCAGGTGCATGTGCATGTATGCCTGAAATTCCAGGAGGAGAATGGAAGAGAAAGGATTGCAGCGAGTTAATCCTCACTTTCCCTGTCTCTGGCAAGGACACATGCCCTTTGGCCAAAACCTTTAAAAAGAAAAAAATATATATACATATACTCCCCCCCCCCACACACACGCATGTATATGTATATATGTATGTATTTTTAAATTTTATATATGTATTTATAAATTTTTACATTTGCCCAGTAGTGCATGTGCTCACCAGAGGAAGACAGGGAGAAAGGGAGTGTGAGAAAGCACCCCTCGTGGGGACTGGTCATTCCACAACCCTTTCTTCTCTTTCCCCCTCCTTTCAGGGTTTTGGCACACATGCACACTTGCCAGACTGCTTTTCAAGCCACCAAGTCTGGACTTGAGCCACATGGTCACCCATGTGGGATCTAGTCACGTTAACCACCAGGCCACAGCCTGACCCCAAAATAATATTTTTTTAAGTTTATGTTCTTTCATGAGAGAGAGAGCAGGTGTGTGAGAGAGGGAAAAACACACACGTGAACAGAGACAGGCGCCCTCAGCAGGGTCCTCTCACCCCGCGATGCCCTTCTTCCTGCTTTCCACATGGGTGCACACCTCACGGGAACCTGAAGTTGGCCATGCAGCTGCAGCTGCTTTTTTTTTTTTTTTTTAAAAAATTTTTTTTTTTTTTTTTTTTTTTTTTTTTGGGGGTTTTTAGGACGCGTGCACTCGCCAGACAGACAGCGAAAGACATAGAGACAGAAAGTGAGAAATCACCCCCCCCCCAGGAGGGATGGCCACGCCGCAATCCCCTCTCCTCCATTCTCCTCTCGGGATCTTGGGCACGCATACACACGTGCCCAGTGTGTTTTAAGCCACCCGGTCTGGGACGCGAACTGCAGTCGACTACGTGGGAATCCAGCGACATAGCCATTATGCTAACTGCTGGTCCCAAGAATTTTTCATTTAACTATTTATTTATTTTAATTTGACCAGAGATGAACAGAGTGAGTGAGAGTAAGCGTGAGAGTAAGAGAGAGAGAGAGAGAGAGAGAGAGAGAGAGAGAGAAAGCAGAAAGCAAGCCACCAGGTCTGTCACTTGAACTGTGCTTGGCCATGTGGGAGTCCAGCACCCTTAACCACCATACCACCTGCTGAGCCCTGGCCCTGGCCCTGGCCATGCAGCTTCTTCGTCGCCATTTTTTTCCCTCAACTTTTATTTGTAAAATTTATTTTATTTTATGCAGCTTCTAACACTGCAAATTAATAAGCAACTGCCTGCACTGCTGAGGCTAGGTCGGTTTTCTATTTTTATTGCCAAGGGTGGATGTGCTTGCTTGAGAGAGAGAGAGAGAGAGAGAGAGAGAGAGAGAGAGATACTGAGTAGCCTTGACAGTCTTGTCATGAAGCCGTCCCTTCTCCGCAGCCTTCTAGCTTTGAAGGATCTTGGATGGCTGTGCATGTGACCTGGGGGTGTCAGCAGGTGGCGTCCAGCCTTGTAGGGCACGGTGTCACCATTGCACCATAGTGGCTAGGCCTGAACATATTCTCTTCTTAACAAGTCAGAGTGTTTATCTGGAAATAAGCTCTTAACTTAGAAAAGTTGCTATTAGAGTTACTTTGACTTTTCCCAAGCCACTTGCAGTGTTTGCGTGGACATGAGGAGTTATCTTAGAGCTAAGATGCGTGTCTAAACATGAGACTTATTTATGTCCGCCATATACATTTAGCCCGAAGTAGTTTTATGCAGTATCTTGGCAATGCGTCATTTTGACTGTGACCAATCCCATGAGGTCGTATGTCGTTGGCTACTCCTGGCATTCTGTCAACCTTCTGAGAGTTGAGGCTTTTGAAACATTTTCATTTTGGATTTTCAGATTAGGGATGTTCAACTTAACATTCATGTTGATGTTCAAATATTTCCTGATTTGGTCATTTGGATTCCCTTCCAGTTGGCTTCTGTTTTCATTTGACATGTTACCACCACAATTTAAGCTTTTCTTTGCCCCCACATTAAAAGATTTTGTTTTATAATATTTCTTATTTACATTTAATTGTACATTCCTGGTAGATAACTTTTCTTGAGGAATGTGTTTTATTGAAATTCATATTCATTGTTGGCCTGTGCAGTGATGTCATTTTAAATTATTTAATCTATTTCCCTTCCTTGGATGTTGCTCATTTTTGTCTGTGTATCTCCTGTTCTCTTTACCTCTTCTTTCCTCCTAATTTTGTACTTTAGTCCTGCTAGGCATTTTTTGTTGGTTTGTTTGCTTTTGGAGAGGTTTTTGCTATAGGGCATGTGTGCTCACCAGAAAGACAGAGAGATACAGAGAGATAGAAAGCAAGATATCACCTCCCTGGGGGGATGGCCACGCTGCAATCCCTTCTCCTCCATTCTCCTCTCGGGATCTTAGGCACACACACACACGCGCCCGGCATGAGTTTAAGCCACTGGGTCCAGGACTTAAACCGTGGTCGACTACATAGGAGTTTAGCAACATAGCCATTACACTAACTGCTGGTCCCCTGCTAGGCATTTGTACATTAGATATAGAAATGGGTTGAAATTATTTATGGTAATTAAGATTCTCTGAAAGAATAGCGGGAATATATAATTTATTGGAGAATCTTTGTCATTTGTCCTCTGTCCTCCTGTCCCTTCTCCCTCTTCATATAAGTCAGTGCCCTGGAAATTGATAGAGAAATGGATGAAACTGATAAAGAATCACAATTCCAGGTGACATATTGGCATATGTGTAATGTGACATAGTAGCTGCCAGATTCAAATGTCTTTTTTTTTTTTTAAAGTAGGTTTTATAATGTAGGAATTGAATCAGTGACTCTAGAAATAGATCAAATGAGCTCTAAGTTCTGGGTGTTTCTGTTATTTGTGCCGCTGGATAAGTATCCTTATCCCTAAATGGTCTGTATATAAAAATAGTTGATGTAATATGAGATCGAAGCTATGCTCACCTTTATGCTCTTGGCATGAATAAATCATTCCATAGAAATCTAAGGCGAATGTGACACATCAGTGAATTCTGTGTGGACTTTGGTCTCACCTCCCAGACCAAATATTTGCAGATATTCCAAAATCTGAAACATTTCTGATCTCAACCATTCCAGATGAGGGATACTCAACCTATACTGTTTTTATTCTGTATTATAGTTGATAAAACAGACATAGAGAAAATAAGTAAGTAGTGTACACTCTTGCTCTAGTAAATGGGAGAGCTAAGATTTGAACCTTGCATGTCCGACTTTAGACTGATGAGCTGTGCAGTATTTCTTCACGACACTGTTTTGAAATAGTGACAGATTGATCTTATAGTTTCAAGTTGATGAAGGATCAGTTACATGTGCTCATTTTTATACGTGTAGTAAATGCTATGACCTTAGCCATTAAAGAGAAAAGGACAGAACACAGTATTGATGTAAAATGATATTGAAAATACATTTTAAAAATAAAACGAACAGTAGACAAAATAGTTTGGAATTCATTGTTTTAAAGACAGATACATGTTTACATGTGCTTCCAAAATATATATCAAATTGTTAATGACAATAGCTGTATTTTGAAGATGGGAATATGTGTAAGTGATCAGGTGTGTGTGTGTGTGTATATATATATATATGCATTCTTCTCTAACACAAGGGAAAGGCAAAAGAGAAGGAATTGGTAGCAACAAAATTTGGGGAAATAGACTGAAAATGATAACAAGTAGAGAGTATAGCCAGGGTGTTTATATCTTATGCTTTCTCTGCAACCTCTCCATTTCTCCCACAGATGAGACATTTCTCCATAGAATGTAGAAAAAGTGAGGAGATTCATTTCTATGAATCCAACAGTACAGTGGTTTTGCAAGATGGGAGGAATTCTAGTTTAAGTCAAAGCAAGCCTGGGTCAAAAATGGAAACACTGGCCCAGTGAAGCATGCTTTACCCTCAGCAAAAATTTATGGTATATTTTCTTACGTTATCTTTGACATGTCAGCTTATATTTAAATCTTTTCTTGGGCCAGCCCCCTACTGCAATGGCTAAGCATAACCTACAGGGAGCCGAATCCCACATGGCTGATCCCCATTCAAGCCCCAGTACTGGGGACTCAAACAACTTTT